AGCTGCTTAGTATATGTGACTTGTTATTGTCTTTTTAACTCTGCATATTTGAATATGAACAGTGGAAATTTTGAATCATTATTATACCATAAATAAAACATTATTCAGATCGTGTTGGTCAACAGAGCACAAAATAAATAGCAAATTCGAACGTCCTTGAATTACACACAATCAAAAAAAAAAAAAAGAACCACAGGATGCGGATTTGTGCTGAATACCTTCACCTAGTTGCTACAAGAGCTCTTCCAGTGGCATCAGGACTATCTGGGCATTTGTTTTTTTTTTTTTTTTTTTTTAGCTCTAACTAGCCAATTTCCCCTAAAAAGAAGAGCACAAATGTAACAACCTAGTGAGGTCACAGCAAACGATGCTCCGCATGTGTTTTCTGTCTTGCTTGCTGCTGTAGTACAGAGGGTTGTGTCTCGATGTAACAGCTGGGGACCTCGCGCACATACGGCGGGGTGGGAAGAGAGCCCCGAGTCCCAGCACAATATAGCCAGCGCCGCAATGATTGAGAGGCGGCGGGGCTTGCGGCAGGATCAGGCCGCCAATTTTGTTTACCAGCAGAAGAAGCGTTTCAGGATCCAACGAGGAAACTCCTGAGGGGGGGAAAAAGAAAGGGGAGGGGGATGCAAAGCTGAACAAAGTAGCTTCCACGTTCAAACTGAAATGATTAAAAAAGAACAGGCTCAATGTCCATCGTTCCTGCAATGCTATACTGTCTACTAGCTGAAGGAAAAATAGGCTGATGTTTATGTGTATATAGAGAATTATCTTTTTACTGGATTTCTCTATGCATGCGTATCCGAGTGTTGGAGAGACCAGGAGTGAGCATATTTAAATAGTAAGGATTTTAAATGCGTATTTGCAATGATATAAATTAATGCAAGACTTTACTGTTGAGGTTTGCATTCAATTAAAATATACTAGACGTTTTCTTTTTAGTTAAATGAGAAAGATGTTTGCTATAGTCATCAGTAGCTATTGCCTACTTGGGACACTTTCTAAAGATGGTATGTTGTGTTCTTCTCCAGTTTCTACACAAAATTATTTTAAGATTCTTGAAATGCTATCCAGATTCTTATTTTAAAATCCTCTGAATAAGAGTCACAAGAGGAACAATTACTGAAACTTGTCTGAAAATAACTAAAAACATCTTTCTGGATAATAGATAGCTAAAAGTATGGCTGGTTCTGTGCAAAATTAGATTGAATTTAATTCTGTTTACATGAGTAGTGTGAAATTTGAGTTAATTAAGTCTGCCACTTTGTCAGGTTTATGGGATGTGTTTTGCTTACCTTGCTAGATTTGTATAACTTCTTTCATTTGATCGTGACTTGAATAAGATAAAAAGTTGGGAGGGGGGTGGTTAAGTCTCTCTCAACTGATATGAAAAAAATGTACTGTAAATGCTTCTAAGCCAATTTTCAAACTAGTGTAATTGGAAAAACTTAGTGGTTCATGGCAAATTTTCTGGCATGACTGATTTTTGATACCAAGGCTGCCTCCCTCCCTCACTCTCCTCGTGCCATAGGTAGGATGTGAGTGAGTACAGCTGTTAAGTTGTTTCTTTGTGCTAATGCTTGAGGAGAAGGATGGGAGTGTCGGGATCTTTCTCATTGCCTGATGTGCACAAAAGCATTTAGAAAACTGTTGAAATGTTCCTGATGAAGGACAGGAGCAGGCTAGAGTTTGGTGAGCGGGATCTTCTCCCTGGGAAAATGTTTGAATTTAAAGCAAACACCTAAGTCTTCTTCAAAGGTACCGTTCACCTGTACAGATGGTCAAGGTGAGTCACAAAGTAGTGAAGTGCCTTTCACCAGACACTTGCGCAGCCTGAAGCGATAGTCGCGAGAAGCAAGCGTCTCACTTTATCTGCCGACGCCTTTGGTTCTGGGGAATTGTGTGTGTGGTGTGTGGGTTTTTCTTCTTTCTTTCTCCAAGCTGCATAGGGCTCAGTCTTTTGCCATAGAGCAGTTCAAACACAGGGTTGCCCCACTTTGTATTGTCTCCTGGTGTGCAACCACGGTCTCTCCTCACATTGTGAGGCCAGACCCTCCTTACTGTTGCCTTTCAGAAGGCTACAACTTACACAGGATGGTGTGTAAGGTGGTGACCACTAGAGGTGGAGGAAGACAAGCAGGTTTGATAACTGTCACTGGGATCAAATTCTGCTCCTTCCAACCAAATGTTCCTGTGAGGCCAAACACCTCTCAGATAAAGGGGAAAGTTTCTTCACGCTTTTGTCTAAGCTGCAGATGGGTGGAAGAAATAATAACACTTCTATGTGTTTGTTTTGTTTGGTTGGTTTTTTTAACTTTTAATTTTCAGGATTCTCTGAGGCTTTTCTCCAGTGAAGCATTGTCCTCGGTATTGTTCTTACCGTTGTCAGTGATTGTCACTGCCAACGTGAAGACAATGAAGGTTTCTTGGGAGCTCTCCATGCTCACGCTGCTGCTGCTCCAGAGCTATGGCAATCTTATCTTCGTGAGCATGTGTTCTTTCTCTCTGTGATGCAGCCCTTCTCCAGAGAGGCTGAAAAGTTTGCTTTCGCAGGCTAAAGGAGGAAAAAATGAAAAATTAATTCCCCTACTGCATGCATGCACACACGCACATCACTATTTAAAATATTATAGAAATATCATTATATGCTGAGTGACATGAGACACAGCCTAGAGCAGAGCAAAACCTTCTCTGTGAGCTCAGCTTGGGGATGTTGTGGTGTTCTGTAGTTTGAAGGTTGGGGGGAAGGAAAGCTCCTTGGGGGGGGGGGGATTTACAGGGGAGCTGAAAAAGCTGTTCTTAATGCTCTGTTGAAAGACAGGCCTGAATTTGGTTGCAGCTGGGTCCCTGGGTGACACAACTAAAATGGTCTTGGTTAACTCCCTCCTCCCGCTGCTGCAGAATCAATTTCTCTGCAACTCTGTGCACGTTGCTGCTGCTTGTGTGTTGTGGCACCATCATAAGAGCTTCCCTTGACCAGCTTGAGTGTTGTTTTAAGTGAAAAGCCACGGGTTGGGCACTTGTCTTCTAGGTATTTGAGGAATTCAGGTGTTCAAACCTAGTCAAGTGCTAGTCAGCTGCTGATAAAACTCAGGATTTTGTTCACTATTTGAATTGAGAGAAGAGCCTTTCTATGTGAATCCTCATATGTCTCAGACAGTTCAGGTGTTCCCTAAGCAATGTTCATTTGCCCACAGTCTGGTTTAGTCTTTCTGCAGTCTGGAAAGCTCAACCTAGAAAAGCAGCTATGAAGTGAGAAGACATCCGCATGGGAGCGGATTCCAGCTCCAACTACTCCAGTGAGACACTGTCTGAGCGAGAACTGAAGAAACAGTTGGCCTCTGCTTCTCGCAGTTTCTTCTTGGGAGCAACTACATCCTATCTTCTAATTTAGCCTAACCTGTTTACTTTTAATGTCCTTTTTTAGGTAGTTTACATAATTATTTAACAGTTATTATTTAACAGTTATTATTTAACAGACATGATCGTCTTCACCATACATCTTGTTTCTTGTCCATCACGAAATGCTATTGAATCTATTCTGCTTAGGCCTGGAGTACAGTTTGTTGTAGTGCATACTTAAATAGCTCATGTAATAGCTTAGGGCCACAGAGATGACTAAGGGACTGGAGCATTTCTCAGTGGAGGAGAGGCTGAGAGAGCTGGGACTGTTTGGCCTGGAGATGAGAAGGCTTGCAGAGATCTTATCCAAATCTATAACTACCTGGTGGCACGGTGTAAAGAGGACAGGGTCAGACTCTTCTCAGTGGTGCTCAGTGACAGGACAAGAGGCAACAGCCGCAAACTGAAACACAGGAAATACCCCTTGAACACAAGAAAATACTGCTTCATGGGGAGGGTGACTGAGCACTGGAAGAGGTTGCCCAGAGAAGCTGTGGAGTCTCACATCAAGTTCATCTTGAAGATATTTAAAACCGCGACTGGACATGGTCCTGGGCACCCTGCTCTAGCCGACTGTGCCTGAGCAAGGGGTTGGACCAGAAGATCTCCAGAGGTGCCTGCCAACCCCAGCTAGGCTGTGATTCTGTGATGTAAGAACAAATTCCAGTTGGGTAAAATGTCCAATGATGTGTTGTAGTGTCTTAAGTTTTTTTTATATATATAAGTACGAAATAACATTTTAAAAAATTAAATATGCCACAAGCAATGACAGATTTAGCAAACTCTCTTTATTTACAAATACATGTACACATGTTCTGTATGCGTACATGTATTTAGGTGTATATACATACATGATTTCACATACTCTACAATAAGTAGCATGTAGGGTTTTCTTTAAGTTGCCTATAGTGCTGAGTAAAAATACATGGCAATAAAATCATGGCTTTACAGCTAAGTTACAAAAGCACCAAACACTGAACTCATAGAATAGAGCAATAAATCCAAGCTTATATACAGCTAAAACTAGGGCACACTATACAGAATATGAAGTAGAACATCTTGTAGGAATCAACAGTAAAAGACAAACTTAAAAACATCACTTAGACCAGGAGAGACTACGTGTGGATTAACATGAAGGGAAACATTCAGATTCTTGATCAAACTAAACCACGCACTAAACTTGTCATTTAAAGAGAAAAACAAATTAACCAGATGTTTGTATGTTTTTAACAGAATAATTTTCTCTGTAAGCCTTTATCAAGGAAATCTGAACTAATCTCATGAGTGCTTCTGGGCTGTCACAGTCATCTGTCCAGGTGCACAGCACTTGAGCAGCATATTTCAATAGTACTTCATTTAACCTCTATGTAACTTCTTTCCCAGATCGTTCATGATAGTTTGTTTATAGATAATAAAAAGCTCTTCCTCAAGCCAGGCATCCTTTTTCCAAAGGAACAGTGACATCAGACCTGTCAAAAAGGACTATGATGGCAAAAGCCAGAAGTTAGAGCTGTTACTTTGTTGTCTTTTTTTTACAAACCTTTTTTCAGTAATTGGCAGCAGCAATAAAATCAATACCCAATGGAAGCCAGCAGGAGCAATGTCTGTCCTAAAGAAGCAAAACCATGTCCAGACCCTCAGTTGTTACAATTGGAGCAATGCTATTTTGTACTAGCTGAAAGTGTGGGTGAATATTTTTAGATTGATAGCAGTGGTTTGAAATCTGTTTTATGAAGTGAAGATGCATAGATTTTTTTGTTGTTGTTGTTATCCTCTTTATTTTTCAGTGCTTATATATTGACTTTAAATATGCAATACCATCCTAAGGAGGACAACTGGGTGTCATTATGCAGAAAGCTTCTATTATTCAGGGGTTAGCCTTTTACTGCGATGTACTTTCCTATGCTATAGCATAGTGCTCAGAGGGCTAAGATAGCGAGATAAGATAATTGCTTCCTTTGAATGGAAGCCAGCCTCTGTTACCGTTTTCAGGCTTAAACAGAGATTATCTTTTTACAAGGTACATAAACTCTCTATTGCTGTGAGAATAGTACTGGTATATATGTAAATACTTGAGAATAATTAAAAATAACGATGACCACAGAAGGCAGAAACGTACACCAAACTGTACTTTGTGTCTAATAAACTAAAGCACATCAGTGTCTAATTACTTCACTGCATATCGACAGGTAAGAATCCTGAAGGAAGAACTACTCACTCTTCCACGTCAATGAATACGTATAACTACTACAACTCATAGAAATGCAATTTCCTTTCCTTTCTTTCATAGAAATAGCACTTTCTTTTAATATTTGGATTAGATTATTTGAGCCCTCTGTGTGTGACATTCCTTATGAAATTAGTGGGAGAGCTGTTTATTTGGATTTTGTATATAAGCAGCCGGCAGTCGTCTTAATTTATCATTTGTTCTTTTTATCATCAGCTTCTATAGCTTCCAGTAAGAAATGGGATCACTTCCTGCTAAGTGTTGTCCAAATCAGTAAAAGACAGTAACCTCTCTGCAATCAAGTCTACTTTGATCTTGAAAATCAGTTCTTTATTAATGTTCATTATGTGCATAATTTTGTTTGATTTTATTCACGTGTCTGCCTGGTAGTTCCCTTACTAATGATGAGAGAGCTAAAATGCAATGGTCTTAAATGAAAATGTTTGTTACATAAACAGTTTGATTATTTACGATACAGCACAAACACAGCTACAGTTTTTAAAGACTTTTTAACCTGCTAGGAAAAGATATTCCTCTCCAAAAGGTTAACGGAAATACTTATTTTTATGACTGATGATGTATTTCTACAGTTACTCAGAATATCCATTGTTTCAGCCAGAGGACAAGTATGGAGTCTCACTATGGTAATTATAATCAGGACAGACCTTTTGCACCAGTTTGTAATCTACGCTGTAAAAGGCAATGTAAATGCAGATAACTTTAAATGGTTTAGAACACAACCAGGAGACATGGCTTTGAGTCTGCTCTTGATAGCAGATCTTGGAAGGGTCAAAATTGCACAATGCAGTTTTTTTAGCGCGGTCTGTTTTTTCATACTCAATTCGACAGTTGAAGGCCTTGGATTCCTTGGTCTCCAGTGTTGACTGTGGAGATGATTCAAATTCAACCACTTTGGAAGGTGGCACCAGGCTTACAGAAACATTTCCAAGACCCGTCGAGTTATGTCGGAAATAAACACTGAAGGTTCCGTTGCCATGATCAACGATTTTCCCTGTGATCAAGAGGTTCAGTTTAACAGTTTTGATGTTAGAGTGGAAGTCGCCCCATCCAAACATTTTCTTGAATTTCCCAGTTTTCACTATTGGCCTGCGTTTAGTTCGTGCAAGAGATTCCTGAACCTCCGTGATGTTCGACAACCAATCCCAAAAGTTTTCTATGCTGTCTGAGTAGGACACCTGGCCGTGTTTCAGTACTGGAGATGGCTTAACAAATAGGCGTAAAGGATTGATGATCCTGGAATGGACCACGTTGTCGACCAACGTTTCTGCAGCATCTTTGTCTTCCCAATCCAGCACATCTGTGGCTTGTACTACTTGATTAGCATCACAAAATACCTGTTTCAAAATGGAAAGAAAGACTTAACAAAAGTGTGAAAATCAAAATGTCAACATACAAAAGCAGTCATTTAATATTAATTTTATATCCATAGGACCTAAACCATTAGTTACAAGACTAGTTTTTAAAAAGGTAGTTCAAGTCATGTGGACAACTGTAATGAGTGACTTCTGCTGAACAATGAAAGCTTGAGCATTTTATTCAGAAGATGCAAAAGGTCTACGATTCCTCTCTATCAGGGAGACACCCAACAGAACAAGTTCAGAAAGGTTAAGGACTCGAGCAGGGACACCCTCTTTGCTTATGAATTCTTTAGAATAAAACATGCCTAAGGATGCTGGAAAGCTTGAACAGCAAAATGGCATCTTTGTGGATCACCTAGTAACAGTCGTGTGCCTCCAAGTTTCTTTATTGATCCTGCTATTGGTGAAAGATGGAGTGAAACAGAAAAGCACAATTTTCCATTTCCAATTTTCTCCCCACTTACCCTCCCAACTCTTTTAAGCTTAAAATACTCTTATTCAGATGCTTCAGGTGTTGTACTTTCTTCTGTAAAACTCATGCATAAAAATGTCTGTCATACACTTACACTCCTTCTGATCTTGCTTTTGTCTGAACTTTTATCAACGAGCGCTCTTCATTTGACAGAGACCATGAAAATAACTATAATTTTTGGAGTTCCAGTCTCAGGTGCTAAGCTGCTCATATTTAACAGGGCCTGTCTTTCAAGAAGTTCTGAGCAATACTAGGCAGACAGCTCCTCTAAGCTTGGCCAAGTCAAGCTTCCAAAAAGTGCTAAGTCTAATACAAAATTGTTTGCAATCAGAATGAGATAATTGCTTCTAGTATCGACAGAATGTTAGATTTCAAAGTTAAACATTTAAAACTTAGTAAAGATCAAATTTCCAATTAAATGAAAAGACACGTACATCCATTCTGCCTGTTCTAAGAGAAGGAAGTCCTTTTGAAAATACAGAACTTGAGCACATTCATAAAGAGGACAGAAGTAAGATCGTTGTTTCAACGTGCCAGAAATGATCATCTTAAGTTTTTCTCTTTATTTTTCATTCCTCAAAGTCTTGAATATGAGTTTTATAAACATACTTCCAGGCTTGTTCTCCTCTTCAGGACTATTTTATACCATCTTTCATATGTATGAAGAAAAACTGTTCAGCTGCAATTATTCTTAATCCACTCATAGGTTATAAAATGTGTAAGCGGAATGAAAAGGGGTTCACACGGAAAGACTGATGTTGTACCAAGCCCCCACCCGCAATGAAAAACTCTTTCTCCTGGTGCAACGCTGCTGTGATTTCTTCACAGATCTTGCAGTACCGAGATCTTTGTGAAGTTTGATCCAGGCAGTGGTCTCCCAGGATTACCACTGCACAGGATTCAGTTTTCACTATCCAGCAGACAACCTCAGCAAGATTACAGGGGTAGAAGTTTGTCTAAAGCAGTCAAAGCACCGAGCCAATGCCGTCCTCCCCAGTAGCTGGGTGACACTGAATTCATGAGGCAGAGCTTTAGGTGGCTTGTCTCAGTAAGGAGAATGTTTTAAAGTAATACTAGACTTGTTTTTCCCCCGACTACTGGTCTCAAAGATGTCTTTTATGCCTTTAAGTCTTAGCGTTATTCAGCTTTGTGAATATACAATACCACCCATAATCTTCAATTTTTCATTTCATTATCTGGCAAAGACCAGAAACTCCAAAGCCCTTAATCCTCGCTATGACCCGCTCTCTAGAAATAGGCTCTAAACCAGAATCCAAACCCACTTACCAGCTATTCTTCCTGATCTTCTACTAATGTAATAATTAAGATAAGATTAACCTCGCTTGAATGTTGAAAGGCAGCCATCATTATTGCTAAATAAATCTACAGATACATCCAAATTTAGTGATCAGGTCTGTTGCTACATTGATAAACTATTTTCTTCAGATTAGAAAGGGGGGGGTGGGAAACGACAACAATGATCACTCCCAGAGTGAGACCCTGCATGTCAAGCTTCTGCCTCTATGCTATGTTTTTTATATTTGAGATAGGAATTCATAAAAACAGGAGATTCTCATGGAAACTGTGACAGATGCTTATCTGTACCAGCACAAATAGCGCTGTTCTAACAATACTATGGAAAACTGTCCATTGTGATGGAAAGTTCTTGCTGAAGCAATGTCATGTTTATATATATGGTTCTTCAGCCACTTACTTTGAAGCTTGTTCACAAGCTCAAAACCAGCCGGGTGATGCCAAGAACAAACTTCCCAGCACAGCTGGCCGTTTCCACTGCCAGGAAAGTAACTCCCCTGCTACCGAGACGTGATTCCGTTCAGATGGAACAAGAACTGATGCACACTTTCGCCCATCTTTCACCCCCAAAACTGACCTGAGGCCTTTTGGAAGTACAAAAAAAGCTGTTTTGCTGCATTTCCAGATCCCAGCTGGGCCCAGAAGCCTGGCAACGATGAAACACCATAGTTAGATGCAGTTACACTGACCTCCAGTTGCACTGACCTGAAACTTAAAATGCTAATGACCATTCAAAAACGTTGGTACCTACAGTTGGTATTGCAATAAGTAGTGGAGTTGGAGGGATTCACAGATGGACGTTTTAAGGAAAAATACTCAGGATCAAAACTGTTTGGTACATAGGTGGTTCTAACTTTGCTTGTACCCGCACTCAGCTATGACTGTCCTTTGACAAGGGCAGAGGAACCTATACTGTTGTTTTTCCTGGCTACTTTTCTTTTGCAATGTTTACTGAAATCTGTGCAATAGTTGTTTGAATTTTCTCCCCTTTCTTTTTTGAAGAGATCTAGAGGGCATTGAGTCATGCGCTCCTGGTAATACTCAGCGTATGTCTCTTCAGGGGGCTCTCACTCCAAATGAGATAGCACAGCATTACTTTCTCAACTGCTTTCTCAGAAGGCTCTGTTACAAAAAGAAAAAATATGTAGGCATAAGGTTCAGTATGGCTGAAGTGTGGAAAACTAATGCATGCTAAAGCCCGTCAGCCTTGTCACATCAATAAGGTATTAGGGCACAATTATTTCAAAACTGTGGTGGTGGAACTGCAGCGTTGTATCACACTAAACTACTGCTACTTTTAATTATGTATGTGTTACACTGAGCAGCTGGTATGCTCGTACGATAACAGAATATGTCCCTGGAGCTAAAGCCACACGGACTATTTCATGTAGCAATGAAATAACTGTCATAATATGGGAACACAAAATCATTAATATGTTGAATTATGAAGACAGAATATTCTTGTTTAATGAATGAATAGCAACCAGTAATCAACCACTCATATCTTTCATTTAAACTGGGTAAGGTTTCTTCCTCCTCTTTGACATAGTTTGCAGACTGTGGGACTGAAATAGCGTGCAGACTTGTGCAGTTTTAATTCCTGATTCTACTTTATCCTGCTGCTGTCTTGTTTCACTGATTTCATCACAGGAACCAGAGGCTGAAAAAGTTGTGAGCTGAATCAGTTGCAGGAAAGACGTCTTTACAAGCTCTGGATTGTATATTTGTTATGTTTTGCAAATGTTCAACAATAAAAAGGTGGCTAACAAAGAGCTTGGTTCTGCTCAATGCAGAGAGCAGGAAT